CAGCACTTCAAAACGTACGAAGAAGTGAAAAATTGGGTCTCTGAATGGTTTGCCTTAAAACAAGAATAGTTCTATTGGGACAGTACCCACAAATTACCTGAAAGATGGGGGAAATGTGTAACTAGCAATGGATATTACTTTGAATAAAGCACTTTTGATGTTTCTCTTGAAATTATCATGTTTTTTTTATTACAAAATCCACATTATTCACCAGTACACCTGGTACATCACCACTTGTAAAACTGTTCTTACTCCATTGAATATTCTCGGCATCCTTGTCAAAAATCAATTGACCATATATGTGATGGTTTATTTTTGGGCTCTATTCTATTCCATCGGTCAATATGTCTGTCCTTATGCCAGTATCACACTGTTGTTGTTGTTGTGTGTGTTTTAATCCTCACCTGAGGACCTGCTTAGAGCGGGGGAGAGGCGGGGAGGGACAACAATGTGAGAAACTTTGATTGGTTGCCTTCTACAGGGGATTGGACCTTCAACCTTTCAATGCACAGGACTACACTCAACCAACTGAGCCACTCTGGCCGGCCCACAGTTTTTATTACCCTGCCTTTTTAGTATGTTTTGAAATCAGGAAATGTGTGGTCTTTAGCTTTGCTGTTCTATTTCAAGATTATTTTGGCTATTCCCAGTCCCTTGAGATTTTATATAAATTTTAGGATAGGTTTTTTAGTTTATGCAAAAATTGCTGTTGGAATTTTGATAGGGATTGTGTGGAATCTATAGGTCACTTTGGGTAGTATTGTTATCTTAACAATATTAATTCTTCCAATCCATAAACATGGGATATCTGTTCATTTATTTGTGTCATATTTAATTTTTTTTCAGCAGCATTCTGTAGTTTTTGGTATATAAGTGTTTCACCACCTTGGTTAAGTTTATTCCAAAATGTTTTATTCTTTTTGATGCAGTAGGATTGTTTTTAATTTTCTTTTTTGGATTATTTGGTGTTAGTGTATAGAGGCATAACTGATTTTTGTGCATTGATTTTATATTCTGCAACTTTGGTGAATTTGTTTATTCTAACAGTTTTTGATGCACTCTAGGGTTTTCTACATATAAGGTCATGCCATTTACAAATAGATAATTTTACTACATCTTTTCCAAATTTGGATGACTTTATTTTTCTAGCCTCATTGCTGTGGCTAGAACTTCTAATCTATAATAATAAAAGCATTAATATGCAAATCGGCCGAACAGCAGAACAACCGCCCAGACAACCATGCTATGACACCCACAAACTGGTGCCAGGCCAGCTGAGGCGGGTGTGATGTGATTGGTCCGGGGCCAGCCTTTGCCCCATGATCACCCCGCAGAGGGAGGCCCAGGCCATGGTCTGGCAGGGCGATCAAGGAGGCCCAGGCCGCCAACCGGCGGGTGGGCGGGGCCTCCCTCTGCAGGGGGTGGGGGAGGGGCGTCATCAATAAGCCCAAAGAGGGAGGCCCAGGCTACCCGGCAGGGGCACTGCAGCAGGTAAGTGGGGCCTACCTCTTTGGGGCGATCCATTGCAGAGCCCCGGCCGAGTGTGCAGGGCCTACATCTTTGGGGTGATCGATGCAGGACTCCCGGACTGAGAGGGCACAAGTCAGGCTGAAGGCCACAAAC